AAAAGGGAATTCTGTTGCGGAATTCGTGGGACCGCTTTGTAAGATTTGCTTGGATTTGACCGACGAATGATTGAAGTCAATGAATCTCCAGGAAGACCCGTTCGGGAGAAGATCTGTGTCCAGTTTTTGTAACTAAGATGCAGATTAGAGTTTTTCTTCCCTTTTCAATGGTCTGTAACCGGTCAGTTGGCCTTTCCGAATAAATATCTCCGCAGCGGAGGCCTTCTTCCTTTCACTAGTATTAGACTGCCGCTTCGTTTTGGGGCTTAACTTCTATATAGGCAATACGTTGAGGTTACAAACTGGTGAGGTGTGCCTGAATGGCGTTCTGGTGGTCTTTGGGCAATACATTCAGTTGGAGACTACCATAAACGAGGTATCCAGCTGGGATGCACTTGAATTCTTTGTTTAAACCAAAGGGTGTGCTCATTTCGTACAGTCTGGAACAACACAACTAGAACATAAAGTTGACGGGATCTCGTGTATTGCGCCTGTCTGATGAGTCCGGGGAAGGGCAAAACCGGTTTTGTGTTGTCAAAAAGCATGAGTAGTGTGTTCCATCAAGAATATCGTACCAGCTGAAACATGAGGTGGCATTAGTGCAACACATTCAGGTTATGTGTGCCTTTCGTAGAAAGGCGCTGCGTAATGTTCTCTCAACTCAAAATTGGATAAATAAGCTTATTTTCGCCGAACTTAACTTATCAAGGCCCGTCTGCCGAAAAATGCCTTTAAGATCGGTATCCAGCGCGACTCTTCAGGAAAGTGGTTAACCACTAATCACTGTCATCATTCTAGGTCACACTAGATTATAGGTGAGTTACGGCTTGCAACAGTGATGGTAGTCTTGAAGACGAACTTTTGCGTCATCGGGGAGACGAATTACGATCGTGCACAGATACAGACAATAAAGCTATCGCGTGTATGGTGAACAGTAGAACAGATGCTCCTATGAATAGGTGTTACGTTTTGCTTCGGCGTATATTTGGGAGTCACTGTATGCGTTTCCCGTATACATGTCGCCGAAACATGCCCGCGATCTCCAGCCAATCGGAATAAGCTGGTTGGACCGACGTGGCAAAAGGGCGAAATAAGTACAATTACTGGTTATTTAAGTACACCCAATGGACAACCAGCAGTGTGCACTCTAGGTCGGCTCACTCTATCGTCCATTTGCTGCGTACCATCCTACTTACCGTGCAAGTGACTATTATTTATGACTGCTGGGGTGGTTGATGGGTCTCCGTCGTTTTTGTGTTTGGTTCACTGCGCCTAGCTGTGGTGAACAGCGCATCACACGGTCCCGATCATTCCAAGCAGTTAGGAATATACTCTAGAGCCTGAGTCTGTGGCTAGCAAGGCAGCTGCCTGTCAGGCCTGACCTCGTCCTGCCGGGCAGGCGCCTGTATCGAGGCTTCAAGACATCTTAGCTACTTGAAGCGCATCAGTAGTCGCACAGAAATGCAACTTGATTAATCGCAGCCTGAGGACTTAGCTTCGATGCGTAATTCTTGAATCTGCTCCCTCGATGAGGATGAATGGTTTCGGTCGTTTAAGTGCTGCTCAAAAGCTGAGAATGGTGGCCTCATTCCAAATTAGTCATGGATGCATCAGTCAGCAAAAACGTAGATACTGTGATTCTAGTGGATGGTGGAAATGACGAAGTTTGTTACCTGGACCGGGCTCGTTTGGACCATCTATGCGTGGCTTGCATACGCTGCTTACAGCAGCGTGTAGGGTAAAGTTTCTCCCTCTAGTGATCTTTTTAGAGCGGATTATTCTAAAATTGTTGTGTTCATAGTGCTTAGTTTGCTTCACAGCCGTAACACATAAGTTGTCGCGCCATGACCGGGTAAGATCAAATCCAAATTTCACGCTTGTAGGGGAACCGGTCCAGACAATTGCATACATGTGGTCAGTTGCACAAGTCCCGGCGGAACGTCAACTGACCAGAACGCCCCTGGAATTGAGAAGGCCCGTGGGGCCGACGCGACATGCACCTGACTTTATATATCCGACAGTTGGCCGCTGCTCCCAGGTCTTCGAAGATCCTCTGTATCTAACCATTATGCTTGATCGGAACCTTGGGCCAGCGATACCGAGGCGCACCAAATAACTTCCAAGAAAAACATCTCACAAAATATCTCACGACCTGTCGAACTCCGTAGGTCGTGTTGGCAGTTTTATATGCCGACTCAATTTCACGGAGTCTCCTTTATTCAGCCCGACGGTAGTTGGTTTAAACTTGACAAAGAAGCATGGACATCCTTACCAGTCCACACAGTCGTCTCTGCGGATGTGGAGCCCCGGAGAAGATACAAGAATGTTTGGTGACATATATGACAAATATGACCCTCTCAGAGAGTCGCTGGTGATCCTCTATCAAAGCTGTTTCTATCCATTACTGACTGACTACCTGACTGGTATGATATGTGGGCGCTGAGACGTACTGTGGAGTGTGTGAGAGAATCTTGACGCTCAAGTTAGCCACTGCAATACCCTTGTTTCCTGTCTATTTTTTTTATAAAAAAGAATAATTGTTGGTATGATAGGGTCCTTTTTTGTTCAATTAGGTCCTAGGTGTAACTCGATTTTCCGAGTCCTTGAGGACTGAATGACAAGTTTGAAATGGAGTGTTTTGGTACTGATGGGTATACTTTTCTGGGTCTGGGTTTTCCGTGCAACCAAGACTTGTGTAATCTATTGCGTCCCAACCTCAGTTTACTGCGCTCTGTAAGCTAATTCTTGCTCCTGATTCGTTCCCCCAAGACGGATTGTCTTTCCATCAACCACAATTGGTTCAACGCAACAAATGTCAATTGGGTCTGGCAGCATTTGCAAAATCAACTGGTAGCGGTGGAAGCATCCACTGAAGATGTTCGTGATACCCCTGGATGGCGTGAACAGTGTCAAGTAAGCTTAGTCTATTTACTTTGGCAGGACTCAAATTCCGAAAAATCTTAGCTTCCTCAGAACTTGTATAACTGGTCCCTCTCGCTACCCCATTTCTTTTTTCCCTCCGATTATAAGGTTTCGTTGAAACATGGTTGTCCGGCCGTGAAGCACCAGTGTTCTCATCTGGTGTTACTGTGATGATGTCTAGTACCTGACACCTTTAGTGATGAATTGTCCCAGTTGGTGCAGAACAGCATCATAGTGAAAAACCAGTGACTTCAGACTCCTTCTTCCAAACTCTGCAGTTTAAATAGGTGACACTTGTTGCTACTACCAGACAGGATGACGCGACGTTTCACCGAGATGATCTGGTGATTCCCGTCTCGTGAAGATGTCGAACTGGTTAAGACCTTGCGGAATGAACAGAGGTACAAATCTCAATGACTCTTGAAAGGAATTCGTGACTGCAATGGGGAAATGTTGATCAAGTCTCTGCCTATTCCCTCAACAAAATTGTGGCTGAGTGGTTCATACAGGTTTTGGGGCGAAATAGTCAGAGATACTAATCCAAATCTCTTCAGCAGACGGTACACAAGGGTGGTCCCATAAATTGGTCGTTTTTTCGCTATGTCCAAACAGCCGGTCAGAGTGGGTTAGGTTGTCCCTCGAATTTTCCAATCGTCGCAAGGAAATCACTCAGCTTTGACGAAGTTATGACGAGAAATGTTGCCTGTCTCATAGTTTCATCACACTATGAAGTTCTTCCATCGCATTTCTCTTCAGATTTGTTTGCGTGCCTTGGCGGGAATCGATTTTTTCGAATATGCTCTTCTACTCAAATACATTTTGTTCACTCGATGGCCCGGAAACGATAAACCCCCTTCATCCAATTTCCAAAGCCTGGCTGAAGAAGATGCCAGTGAGGCAGATCAGTTATCATCTCTGAACAACAAAATAGACCACGAGTTGATTCAACTGTTCCGCCGAGAGCCGGATCATCTAAAGTTGATTCGCGAAAAGCCAAAGTGCTGGATGGAACTTATTCCAGAGGTGGTGACAGATTGCAGGCAAGAATTACCCACTTGGGTTCGTCTACATGATTTCGTGAGCGCTTTTGAAAGTCTTCGGTTGGTCTCCCAAAACCCCATTGTGAAGGTTTTAAAGTTGATGTCAGAACCACTGTATTCAATGCTCAATTTTGCATAAACTTTTCAGGTGAATCTTGGCATTTTAGGTCTTCCTTTTAAATTAACAGATTGTGAAGGGATGATGCTCGGAAATAGGATGTGACCGAGGTTTTAATCCACACCAACTTAGATCTTCCTGTCGGTCGTCCATGTGGGCACTCAGATCTTTCGTACTGTGAACAAGCAGACATCGGATAGAGTTGTCTCATGATTCAGCATACTACTCACCATTCAACGCTATTGGTCACTGACATTCCCATGTTTGCGTCATCAAACTCTACAAATGCGCTTTCGTGTGCTGATTGTAGCCTGAAAACTACTTCTACTAATCCATTTGGCAGTCATAGAGAAAACCCTCAGATTTTTATTCTGGTTCAATGTGTTATGCACTTACCTTTCGTGAAATCGTTAGAAAAAACGTCGTTTTCCGTTTACTATTATTACTATTGTGCCTCTTAATTTGATATTTCGTAGCACTGCCTCATTTGAAACTTTATCTCTGTAACTGCAGAACGATGTTGGTCATACCTTCGGGATGTTTAGTTATAACTTGGTTCACCACTTACAGCATATGACGTCGTCACCCGTTCTTCAATCACCGAATCCACGCCACGTGGTTACGTACCGTGAGTTAACCATTCTGCTGACCTGCTGCTTCCGGCCGAAGGGCTACGTGTTCAACTACTAACCAGGATGTTAGGGGTTCGAAACTCCCTGGATTTTCGTTGTGTACCGCTGATGATTGTCAATAAGGATGAATCAGATGCACAGTGCTCCTCAGCTTTTCCTCTGCGGGACTGAGAATCCGCGAAATCTCCCTACACTGCCAAAAACTAAATTAGCTATTGTTTTCATGGGAGACTCAATTGAATCTCTCGTTTATGATATTCTACAAGAAGAATGAAACCGGTCGTGGGCTGTCGAAGAGTTTTCAGCAACCTTGTGAGTAGTTTCCTCTATGAAAATATACTGCGATATCTCGAATATCGTGCCAACTGAATCGTGAGGCGGCCTGTGTGCAGCACATTCAGCTGGAGGACATCATAAACGAGAGATTCAATTGAGTCTCCCATGAAAACCATATTGATTTGCAAGTGAGTGTATTTCTCGAAAACAGTGCAATTTGGGTTGAAGTAGATCATAAGGTTGAGGGAAACTCGGGGACTGCGCCTACCTGATGAGCCCCAAGAAGGGCGAAACCGCTCGTGGCCTGTCGAAGACTTTTCAGCAACCTTGTGAGTACTTTCCTTTATGAAAATAAATTAGTTGTGTTTTGTAATGCACTGCTCATAACGTCGCTAAAAACTCCTCGTTAGACCACGACCGGTTTCGCCCTTCTTGGGACTCATCAGGTAGGCGCAGTCCTCGAGTTTCCGTCAACCTTGTGTTCTACTGAGGCGGCCTGTTGCAGCACATTCAGTTGCCTGGAAACATCAAAATCGAGAGATTCAGCTGGGTTCCGGGTGAGTCTCTTGGAAAACCAAATTAGTTTGCAAATGAGGGTTTATTCGGTAAATTAGTTATGGTTTGTCCTTACTCCTAGCCGATTAGTGTGGTATCCAAAATATGACTGTCGTTTGTTTGCCACCGCTTGTTTTAGCCCACTCGCTATTCATTCGGTCAGCGATCCAGTTAGTCTTAATAGGGCTGCATTAGCCACACAATGCTCTCAGAAGCAAAACCTTCACAAATGGAGTAGAACTGTTTGCGCCAAAATGTTGCATTTTGTTGCGTATGTGCTCAAATCAAAATCCATCCTAATCTATGTTCATATTTTAGCAACTCGCCAAATTTCATTATCCACTGAAGCAATCATACCTCTGATGAAAAAGCCTGGCGGAGTAATTTTCCAGAATCACTGAGACCCCGGGATGCCTAAATGAGGCTCAAAAGTGTGGACTGGTACTCTGAACCCAATTGCCTGATTGCTTTAGATCATCATTGACACGTCATAGCTTTCGAAAATTCAATTCGATTGTGCGAATACTGAGCTCCGTCTTAATAAGCCAGTAACATTTAGAGTGACTAACCAGCCTGATCGATTTATCTTAAGGTGTCTCAACTGAAGATGAAAATGTCTGAGGTACCAGAACGGACGACCTGGAGTCTATTCCAGTTAGAGACTTTTTCACCATAAAGATCGCGTGTTTTGACGGACAATTTACGGATGGAGGCCATTATTTCAAACGTCATTCTTTATTTTTTACTCTCCTTAAACGTGCTTCCTTGTTGTTTTCATTGATTACTTCCCTTCCATCTAGTAAGTGACTGCTGTCCAGACAGGTAAAATCAGCATTTTTCATTTAAGGCTAGCTTGACGTGTGAGAGTTGGTTCCGTAGCCTTTTCCATAATGAGGACTTCTCACTGATTGACTGCGGGGGCCTTCTGGGTGAACTACCGTTTTGGACTCCGAAATCCTCATCACTTATCTGATTGGCCTCCTCACAGGGTTGCCTCTCTTTAGGATGCATGAGTTGCACTTATTTGTTGCTGACGGGTACATTGTTGCAGGCAGTGTTTTCTTGCCCATGTGCCTTTAGGGGCTATTTTTATTACCTTCAGTAGCTCTTTGATTAAATTTTCAAAAGAGCGGTCCCTCCGCCGGACGATTCATGACTGTCTTCTGTATGCCACGATCGAACACACGACCCATCGAACCTGAATTTCCCATCAGCATCAGCATCCCATAATCGTATTAGTAATAGTATTATTTGGTTCGAGAATCTACCTGCTTTACAACCCGTTAGTTGATTAATCTTTGTATTGATTACAAAAAGTGGTGGGCAAGTTCACTTCTCCGCCTCTTTCAGTCCTGTCTGTTTCGTTAATTCATGGAAGGTGGAAAACGGCTGGTATTGAACAGAACCGTCAACAGCACGCAGCAGTTGGATAGAGTGATAAGGTATATTATGAACGAAGAATTCATTTATTCTATCGTTAATAGCAATGCCATTTCCTAACGAGCGTAGTCCGTCAGTCGTGTGCAGTTTGGTAATAAAGTTAGAATAATATAAGGTCAGTGGAAGCTTTGAGACTATGCCTACCTGATAAGCACAAATAAAGGCAAAACAGATAGTGGGTTGTTGAAGAGTTTTTCAACAGCCTTATGGATAGCATCTTATGTCAGGAAAATATACCGCGACATCTGCATTATTGTGTCAATTCACAAACTAGTTGAAGAACATCCTAAACGAGGTATTCACTTGGGTCTCTCGTCAACCCCAATGTAATTGGCAAGTTAGAGTATTTCGAACATATAGACCTGTTATTTCAGGACCGTCTGCTGGGGACTGTTTGCATCCCCGATGTATTCACATCGTTTCCAAGGTATTAGTACGTTTATAATTCAGTGGGGCCGCATTGATAAGTTTGCAGATCAAAGACTTTCCGATCTGCTTGTTTGACTGCATGTGTGCATACACACCTATTTTGTGTTGAGTTTCATCCTCCATGCTTGGGAACCAACTTCCAATTCCCTCAGAGCCGTATACTACTAAGTTTTTCACCTAGACATTTACATGGGAAAAATGGTTATTCCTCAACGCTATCTTTAAAAACCGTCAAAGAATGTTGGATCATTTAGGTGACCAAGGCTAGTATTCTGAAAAGTATAGGTGGTCTATAATGAATCTAGTGCTATTCAGAGGTGAGGGGGGAGGAGAGTAAAAGTGAACTCTTCTGACCATCCTGTTGTGTATCCGAATGGTATCATCATCCAAAAATGGACAAAGACCGCAGTTAGGTGCGTTTTCACGTATCACTATCCAGCTGAGCAGTTCAAATTAGACAGCAGGCACGATCGATAATTCGGTCGATTGGCCACAGTGCGTGCGCTTTGAACACCGCATCGGCACAAAACAAGGCATTTACAATGAATTCCAAATACGCCGGTGGGACCGTTCTATCTCACTTTCTAACCGATGAAACTGGACCGAACTGTGGAGACTTCACGTTTAATGAACAAGACCTACTGTTATTATGCAGTCGCGATATTAACCTGAACGATCAGCCAGCTCAGGTCATGGTCAGCCATCCAAAGATACCAGGATTGTCTTGGATAATTTTCTTCTACCAAACGGCTCCGAATCAATATCAGCCCCGCGTGGCTTACGATTTCCCAAGCTACTTGCGAGCAGACTGTGAGGTGTGCATTCAGTTTGCTGGAATGCACTGGGTTGTGAAACACAAGTTCGAGGGTAGTTCCTGGCTAACCTCCACACTGCCTCCAAAGGCAATGAACGAGCGGTGGGTTACTTTGGGAACTGTGAAAAAGGTGGAGATCCGAGTGAATATCACTAAAATATGGTTCAAATTTCCTGTTTTCACAGCTTGTTGTTACCCATTGAAAACCAAACGATTCGTGCGACAACCCGATTTTACTATGCCTGACCATTTCTCCGATGTGCAGTTATTACCCCAGGATCCGAATAATCGCCGCCTATTTGCCCATCGACAAGTTCTGGCCATGAATTCTCCTTGGTTTGCTGAACGCTTCCGAAGTGCATCGGCTCTGAACACGGGTGATATTGGACCAATCATTTCGATTCCGTTTGATTATGACACCGTATTGAACTTTCTACGTTTTATTTATCCTAATGGTAATCTGGAGATTACAGCTGAGAATGTCGAAGGTTTGTTGGATATGGCTAAAGAATATCAGATGCCAAATGTGATCCGAAAATGTGAGAAGTGGATGTACAAGTTCATGGAAGGTGGATCCGCCGTTTTATGTTATTACTTGGCTCGCAAACACGAATTACCACAGGTGCAGGATGCTGCACTATTACATTTGGCGGAACTAAACTCTTCACAGCTTCGAGCACGGCTTAATTTGGATATGAAGGGCAAATCACCGGATACGCATGAGGTATTGCTCAGTGATCTGTGCATTCGTCTTGCCGGCTCTTAGTTGTTACATTGACCCGTGTTTTTGACACCTGGGTCGTTCTCTGCCCAACCTTATTCGATCTGCTTAGGATCAACCAATAAATGGGGTCCAATGATTACTGTTCCGTTTTATTCACCATCCCGTACAATAGACCGACACGTCCCTGACTCATGGATCCTGATATTGATGGAATGACCGACTGGCCCATGTGCAGATGGTCGCGGAATCTTGGTAATCTGCTAATTTTAGAAGTTAATAGTAACTTTGGCCTACTACCTCATGGTACAATGGAAATGTATAACTGAGCAGAAAACCAGTCGATAGCCAGAAAAACAGTATTCAAACTAGCTGTCTACTGAGTTACTTTGTAAGTAGTATTCGCGAGTGGTTAACTGACTCCGGCCTACTACCTCATGGTACAATGAAAATGTATAACTGAGCAGAAACCCAGTCGATAGCCAGAAAAACTGAGTATTCAAACTAGCTATCTACTGAGTTACTTTGCAAGTAGTATTCGCGAGTGGTTAACTGACTCACCAAAAATCTGGAGGTGATGCCAGTTGTAATATGCACCCTATGGAAACAACAGGGGACAGTGATTCTCCGAAGACAGGTGTTCGCGACAATTTCTGTGGATGGAAAACAGAAACAAAGCTCGTGAGCCAACGCCCAGTAAGCAAGGTTGAACATCACCAATACTTACATACGAATCAATCAAACTGACAGACACCGTATACTACACAGTGACAGCTGTTAAGTCCCCTACATCAAAGCTTTTCTACGTGACAACAGATGAGTTGTATTTGTGGATTACGTTGCCCTAGCGTGCTTAAGAGCGTAGGCCATTTCACGAATCAGGTACACATTCGGCCTTCTGGGTTTCAAACGTTTCGGCGCTGCTCACAGAGTGGCCGGGATTGTCCCTTGTTCGTGCTGTCACTCCCCAAACGTGCTGATTTAACGCTGTCTAGGGTACTAATTTACCGTTCCAACGTGAGGTCAAAGCAGTCTATATATGTCCTGGAACTAATGATTCGCTCTCTCGTTGGCCGTTCACTGTGTAAAGAGAGCCAACTACGGCTTCCATCCTGTTTGGGGCTCATCATTCAGGTGTGGTCACCGGAAGGTGAAGAAATCTATGCCTGATCTGAGTAGCACTTTAGTTTACTTTGACTTTACTTATGAGTTCATTTGAACGATCTTGACCACGTGATGTGGCTTCTGTGATTGAAGCCGCACCATGTGCTATGTAAGTGAGAGCTGCTTTTCAACCGCTCGTGGCTGAACGGTCAAGCTTTTAACCACTGGCCGGAAGGTCGCGTGTTGTACCCTCTTACTTGACTTGGAACTCCTGATAGGTGGGTCAGTCAATCGACAAAACCAGAACATTTCCTGGGTTTTCGTTCCAGGCGGGGGAAAAACCAATCGCACCGCTCGCTTTGGCGGTTCATAAATTTCCCCTTGGAAGAGATCACATTTGGTTGTCCCTCCAGATTGGATATTTTTTCTGCGGAAGACATAAATTTAGGGAACCGAACCCCTTTTTTCCGTATAGGGGAAAATGCCACATTTGATTTTGGTCTTGCCGTTGCTTCCATAATGTCTGTCATTTCATCAATAAATTAGAACAAAATGAGCCCCATTTCTCATATGACTGAGCAAAATGGAGCAAAACAAGTTGCGTGACAGTAAGAATCTGCCATCTGAAAATTCACTGTCGGGCCCAGTTCGTTTGCTTATCCGTCAGCATGTTTGCAGATCGCTATGTTGAGCCCTCTGTTACGGCCTCTTGTGTATGGTGACCCATGTACTCGGGCATTGTTTAGTATGCAGTAGCGATGCCTTCTCACCCAGGACAGCATAGCCTGCTACTGTCCCTCTGACTCACTACGACTCAGTTGGTAGTCAACTCTACGTTGATTCTACCGTGCAGTTCTGTAACATTGCAAACTACTCAAAGCGGAGAAGGCCATGTGCACGATTCAAATCAGCCACCTTTCCGCCAGGAATCCCCCGATGCGAATTCATTTTTAGATACACGAATGCGTTTCTGATTGAACTAGCTGTACATTCTACTGAAATTGATAACAGGAAACTGATTTTCTTTTTTGCAGTTACAAACGTCCCTTTGTTCTCGAACTTTAATCCCATATGCTCGAACGATAGATCTTTTTGCACAAAAGCTAAGAAAGACGCGTTACCATTGCACATTGGTGCAATGTTCGTAGAAGATGTGTGCAAATCAAACATTAGTTTTTAAAATGTGCGCACCAAATGCATTCGTTAACTTACCTGTAATGACTCAGTTATTTCTCCGGCATTTCTTTAGTAACCGAAAGGGTGTGAGATCGGGACCCTTCTCCCGTTCGAACAGAGGAAGCCCTGTAAATAATTCGGGGCTTTATACCCCAATTGAGGTTTAGAAACTTGTCACTAGTCTGATTAATGTAGTGTTCCAAATGGTTTCGGACATCTAGTGTTAAGGGCTTACGTCAAGACAGAACAAAATTGGAGCGTGGCCTGGACCCTTTTAAAATTGGTGGATTAATAGGTAGTGGTACTTATATGCCATCGATCAGGACTTGTTTTTAGCAACGCCCGTGAGCTAAGCTCATCGTTTTCTTTGCATATCGAAGCGACGCTATGCATGTTCTATTAGCAGGATCCATACAAATGACACTTCGAAAGGTTCCGACGTGAGTTTGTATTTCTCCGTGGGTGAATCCTTCGGAAGGTTAAGATTCAATTAATACAACATACGCAATATTGGCTTCGAAAAATCCTGAAAATCACGGGGCTTGAATGCCCCGATTCAATAGTTCAATGACCCGGTCGTTATGGATGGTATAATCTTTGAAAATTCTGCGAGATTGGCTTCGAAATCCGTGCATCACAGGATCCGACGTAATCCACTTGTCCACTGACACCGAAGATCGTGGGTGTTCACCTGATCAATTGGTTTTGCTGTTCAATGAAGCACGGAAGCCGCCTGATGTGAAGAGAGATTACACGCTATAGTCGGCCTAATTAAGTGGAAATAAAAACAGCCTGACAAGCATGGTTCATGTCATAAGTCACACTTGACCACATGAGTGCCACAATATCCTGTTTCAGTGCTGATAAGCTGCTCGTGTTCAAACTACTGACCGAGAAGTCGCGGGTTCGAGACCCCATTGGGTTTCGTGAGATGGCACTGTTGGCGATTCCTAATAAGGATGAAGCAGTGATTCTCGGTTCTCCTGCATAGGTTCATTTCACTTGCAGCACAAAACCTCAATTGAAGGGGTCTGGGAGTTTGACTGATTACTTGTACTTTTTGACATCTAAATGTATCAGTGAACTTAAAGTGACAACGGGCTCTGTGTCAGCCACGGTGAACCGATTGAGATGCAGGCAAGGCGTAAATAACAACTAATGGTTCCAAGTGAGTTATCATTCGAATTCAGACAAAATCAGTTGAAATCACGCGAAGTGACGTGGTAACAATCCCTGGACTCTTTACAGTTGAGTGGGCTTGATTACTCGTTTCATTATGATAGCAGTTTGGGATTCGAATTTACCGAAGTTAGCAACGTAAGGAAACTTCCTACAACAGCTCCACCCTTAAGAAAGTACCGAAAATGGAGGTGCATCAGAAGAAACGTTTTTTTATTGGGTAGGTTAAAGCTCTAAGCAGGCGGAAGCCAGTCTGCAACACCAAAGGTCTTAGAAGGCTCATCCCCCGAACAAGGAAAATTGTAAGACGTGATTACTAACCTCTAGATTTCTTGGTTGGTTGGCCTTTGAAATGGACCTACCACTGACGGCGGTTCACCATCCGGACACCTGCTGATAGTAGATTAAGTAAGAAAGCTTATACGGAGTCCAGTATGGTGCTACGGTCAAGCCACTGATGCCGATGTTAAACCAGAGGGAGTAAGGCCAGCAGAAAAGCAAATAATGGCCTGTTGAGAGCCATCGGTTAGCACATGCATGACGTAGTGATCATCATCATCATCATCAACGACAGCATGACATCAGTGCTCAACACCAATGCTTCACTGCCGTACAACCATGATTTATTTGAAAGCCTTATTGTAAAGAAAAGAATAAGG